TCACTCCCTGCGTGCGACTGCTGTAGCTTGCTCAGCGGTCTCTGGAGATCGTGAAAGAGTTCCCCCCCTTTGCTACTCAACCGGGAGCCCGCAGGCAGATTTAAGCAGCAGCACAGCCTCCAGCAGAATAACATCTAGTCCTGGTCAACATCTCAGGAGAGGTGGGATTAGCAGAGGGGAAAGTGGGAGGAGAGGAGAGTCCTTAGAGATCTAACCAGGTTACTACATTTAATACAGAACATCATCAATATTTTGTCAGGGGACAGCTCCTCTCCCCCCATCTCTCTCCTTCAAATCCCAATTTTTCCCCGTGTCCCTTCTGCAGTTCAATATCTCTTGCCTGCCCATGGTGCTGCTGTGTTTTGGGCCAGGGAAAGTGAGGCAGAGAGGGCGCCATCAGAAAGGCAGGGATGGAGTGTGGGGGCATTCATGCCTAACTTATAAATGCCCCCCAGGCTCCAGGACAGGAGAATTTCCTCCCCAACAATAGACCTGCTCAAAGAGTAAACCATACAATATTTCACAGAGAAGAAAAAGAAATCTCCTGAAATGCAGTTGCCAGCAGGAAGGTGCTAGTACCCAATTAATTCATGAAATAGCTCTGCTGTTACTAGTACTAGGATGGCTCCTTGCTTCAAGAAGCAAGGACCATTTCTGACTGTGTTAGGAGATGATATAATTGAACTACTGTAGCTCACATCAAAGGCTACTTTGTGACACTTGCCTCTCCTTATGGGGCTATCTAGCATCAGCCACTGTATGTTTTAGAATTAAGAGAAATATCAGCATGAGATTTAAGCTTGGAGGGAAAACAATTGCAACTAGGACAGTAGATAATTTATCTGGTGCTGCTGCAATTGAGATCACTTCTACCATGCAGTCTTGCACTAAAAATCCGAACAAAACCAAAACCCCTCAAGACTGCACCACTGAGCACATGGATCTCCATCTGATCATCTGACACTAGGTCACCTCTGGATTTAGCTCATTGCATCCAAGTGTCTAAATGAGGGAGACTCTAAAGGGAAAAGGTTACCTGCTAAGGGAAGTGGAAAAAAGGTCTTAATTAATTACACCATCTAAATCTCCATTAGCTTGACTTCTAAATTTGATTCAGAGAACATACATTTTCACACCCAGAGAATTCTCTCTTATTCTAGAACCTACAGCTTCGTATATACATGTCTCCTCTCTAGGCTTCACTAAAAACTGTCTTGACATCCTCATAGCAGATCAAATTCAGAGGTCTATAGTCATTGCCCGTAATTCTGATACAGTGAAGCCTTAATAGCTGGCAGAGAATTCTATAGTACATTACTGCAACTGCGGGCTGTATCTTTGGGGACCATATTGTGTTAAGTATATGGGATGGTTTATGGATGCAACTCCAGGTAGGGAGGATTGCCACAGCTCCGCCAGAAACTAAGAATTGTGTGCTTGTGTGGGGTGATTATGGGGAATCACTCAATTTGCAAACCGTGCCCCCAGCCCTCCTGGGAGGTACCACCCCTGGGGAGGCTCGCATATGCTGGCTCAAATTGAGACCAACAGATGAAGAAAGGACTTTTGATATAAGAAGGCTGGGATTAAACTGAGTCAGGGCCTTCCTTCTGATCCAGCAAATGGACAGGCCTTTTCATTCAAGGGGGCTCCCGACCCTTGCAGAAGAGGTTGAAAAGACTTTGGCCTACTAAGGCCTTGTAAGACTGATGGCCTCTGGAAAGCTTTCATCATGCATACAGGAACTTTTATCGTTTATCAGTTTTCACTGTAATGCTTTTATCTTAAGAATAAAGGTGCTTGCTGAGAAAAAGCTGTGTGGTAACTTGTATCTCTGGTCATAGCCCTTGGAGAGACAGCAAGGCACAAGTGCTGGCTTTTAGGCAGACTGGACACGGGTGACAGCTGGAGACATGACACCTGACTGGGCACCCCTGGATTAGACTGTAGGGGCAGTGGGTAGGAATACAGGAGCAGTTACCCTGAAACTATGACCATTACCATCCAGTCCCTAGATGTGATGACAATTCCTAGCCAAGTATGAAATTTTGCATACCTTAACTTTTGCTTTTTTGCGGTAAGGTCGAGAGCAGGTGAAAGAAAATTTCTAAACCCTATTACATGCTCCAAATCACAACCACCAGGTGGGTGAAGGAAACCAGGGTGTATTGGAGTCAGCAAGTCTCCTGTGATCTCTCACCTACCTACCTAAAGTTCCATCTTGGAACGCAAATAACTAGCTCCATTGCTAAATTTTACACAAATGCTCTATTATTTACACAACCATTTTATCTGAAACGTGGGCAGGACAAACCTAAGATACTGATGAAGATTTCAGCACAGAAAAAAGGAATTAGAAATGGGAAGTAGGTGGCCTAAGCATCATTAAAACAATACAGAATCTTGTGGGAATCACATAGGGCACTGCTGTCTTCCAATGGATATCAAACTTTGAGATTTAACCTTGGGATTACTTTGTTCTCCTTTTTCCACCTTATCGAAGCCCTGTCTTGTTCTCATAGGCTTGAGGTACCAGCTCCATTTGTTATAGTTTCTGGTGAGGATGAGCTGGAAATACCCTATGAACACTTAGGTGCACATACATTGACAGCAGTGTTGAAGAACACCTCATTATCAAGTTATTTACAAATAAGAGGCAAAGTCCCTACACTGAGGAATTTACAGTCTGACACAGTGATAAAAACACAAAAGGAGCATCAGAATATATGTCAAGCAAATATAGTAGAATTAAAATCATATCAAGGCTATAATTTCATTAAGGGGTCAGGGTAATAAATCATAAGTAAATGCCTGTGGTTTGTTACCAGAACCAGGTGATAGTATTTCCACAGAACTAACTACAGCACATTTGTGTGTGTTTTTTAAAATATGTTCCCACAGTATTTTTACTTGAGAAAAAGCTAAACGTTTTACTGCACTAGCTATGTTTAAGCCAACCCCTGACTCTGCGGAATTATCGAAAACTCCAGGAGGCTCTTCCTATTTTTAACACCCATTCCTGAGCACCTACATTCCAGCTACCATGCTTCTGTCACAAGACATAATGGGACACCCTTCCAAATATGGAGGACATTCAGTGGCTGAACAGGTTAATGATTTTGAATACAATCCTGTCCCAGGATGTAGCATTCTACCCATGCAGCATTCCCAACCACTGCTTGCTCGGGAAGTAAAAGTGTGTTCATGCTGAGTATATATTTTAACTGAGCTCATTTGAACCAGGATTCCCAGAATGGCACGTGGTTACTATATGTCTGAATATCCATAGAGAAAACAGACAATGGATTAGTCTACTGTCAGATCAAGGGACTGAGTTTGACATTAGAACAACTGACTATGCTTTAACAACGTTAAAAAAAAAAAAGTTAATGCCACTATCCTTTTGCCACATCTGCAGTAGGACTAGAATCCCTCTAAATGGCCCATGCTGTGCAAGGACAGCTACTGAATATTTATATAGCACTATAACTTTGCCCAGAGCATTGAAAAGATTAAAAAGACAGTCCCTGCCCTGAAGAGTTCAAGACCTACACCAGTCAGAAAATGAAGGAGAGACAAGACAAGAAGCAGGGGAATGAGGGTTAAAACAAAAAGAGGTGAGCCACACTGAACTGTGAGTACATCTTGTGAGTCTGACAGTTTTTAAAAGTAGCGGCAGTTGACAAGGACGAACAAACAGCTCCAATGGCTCAAGACATCAAGTTAGTCCCATTGTGCTCCATGTCGATTAACGTTCCTCCTAAAATTCTTGGCACAGCCAGAAGCAAAGATTGGAGTCCAAACATATGTGTTAGATAGATAATCTATATCTATCTATCTATCTATGACGGACTGTATTTCTACCAAAAAGAAAAGGGGTACTTGTGGCACCTTAGAGACTAACAAATTTATTAGAGCATAAGCTTTCGTGAGCTACAGCTCACTTCATAGCTCACGAAAACTTATGTTCAAATAAATTGGTTAGTCTCTAAGGTGCCAGAAGTCCTCCTTTTCTTTTTGCAAATACAGACTAACACGGCTGCTACTCTGAATGAAGTGATGAAGTCTGATGAAGTGAGCTGTAGCTCACGAAAGCTCATGCTCAAATAAATTGGTTAGTCTCTAAGGTGCCACAAGTACTCCTTTTCTTTTTACTCTGAAACCTGTATTTCTACCAAAACTCTGGTGGGAGTTCTCCTCAAATCTCTCTCAATTAGTGTGTCCAATGTGCCTGCTTATTAACACTCAAACTTAAGTTGTGGGAGTCCCTCCCTCTTGACCTACCAGAAAGGATGGTGTCACTTTTTGGCTCTGAAGAGTTGTATCAAGGTGAGATAAGTATTTCATGCTGATAAAATGCTATGCTTATGAAAGTCATTGGGGATGAAATCCAGCTGCTGTCTTGAACTAAGCTGATGCTTCAGCTCAACAGTGCATTCGTTTGCATATATGAATGAGCCCACCAGACACATACTTGCTTAACTAAGCAGGCACAGCATCTACTCTAGTTAAGAGCTATGTCTGAGGAGAAATTCCGCCAGAGTTATGGTAGAAATATGATCGTCAGACTTGTCAAGCGAATGCACTGCTGAGCTAAAGCCTCAGCTTAGCTCAGGACAACAGCTGGATTTCACCTCAATGACTTTTACAAGCCTAGCATTTTATCAGCACTAAATATTTATCTCATCTTGATGCACCTCTTCAGAGACAAAGGTGACACCATCCTTTCTGGAATGTCTTCTCAAGAGGGAGGGACTCCCCTAGCTTCCATTTTAGAAGCCCCAGTGTAGTAATAGAAAGGAGGTCCCTCTTAAGCAACAGGTTGTCTGGGGCACGGTCAGATTTGTCAACTGTTTAACAAGTTGTCTCAACTGATTGGAGTGCTCCTGGTAGTAACAGACATGAGTGTCACAGCACAGAATCCCATAGCATACTGCACTCCTTTGGCAAGCTTTCATCTTAAAAAAAACCCATCATTCTGTGTTAATGCAGAGACTCACCTAGTTTCACTTGAAGTGGGGATGGTTTATAGTTCATGGCTACAGTCTCTCCCTCCCTTGTATCACAGTCTCTGTCTGAGATAGATGCAGCGGTTGGATCCTGTTAAAAAAAACAACCAAACAACCAACCATCAGACACGGCTTAGTACACACAGATATGCAGTCATTTCTCTAATTCGCTGCTGGTTGAGTCCACCAGCATCCAAGTTTGGTAGGACAGAGGCACAGCTTTGTGTTTTAGATCATTTAAACCCAGAGACTCTACAGAACTGTGGAAACCATTTAATAAGTTTAGGGCACTATTTGAAAAAAATCCGTTTTTAACACGCTTAGATGATAGATCGTCCAAGATAATACGGAGATTTTCTGTCACCAGTTCAAATCCAGGCCAGGTTGGTAGTAACCCAAAGTCATTACCATCTGATGGTTGTTTGGTGACCTGTGTGAAATGCCATGGTCGTTTCAGTCAAGTTCGTAGGTAACACGTCCGTATTCATGACTAGCACTCTGGTGGCACACCCCGGGAAGGCCAAGGATTGACTGGACATGGAGGTTGAACTGCTGGTCCCTGCATGACAGGGGGTCAAGAAACCCTTACTGCCTGTGTTGTACCCATTTTGCAGACAATTGAGTAGGTCAGTCTTCAGCATCTTGCAGCTGCACTGAAATTCTCTTGGAGAACCCTGGATGTCCCATCCACCAGGCCCATTTGCGGAAAATCCAGGCAGTATTGTATGGTATAGTCTTTCCGCAAACCCCTCTAACATACAGGTTGCTTATTTGCACAATCCCAAAAGATCTAAAATCCATTCACTGCAAACTTCAAAGCTGTTGAAATCATCTTTGTAGCAAAAATTGCTTTCAATAAGGTCAATTTCTTCCCATCTAGGAGTTAGAAACTAAGCTGAAGACGTATGAAAATTCCAATTTAAAACAGACAGAATTACATGGGAAAACATGTGCTTAATATTAAATTCAAATATTCCAGGGATACTAAATACTGGAATATGCCATTTCAGATAAGATAGTTATTTTCATACTCTCCACTTCTTGAAATTTGCATTATGAAGTTTTGGGTTTTGTTAACCAACCCTCCCCCAAACAAAAAACCCTGCATAATTTGGCACTCTGGGGAGACTGTCAGTGGCAAAGAAAGAGGCTGGTATACTCTGCCAACAATAAAAGAAGATCCTTTAGTGAACAATTCCTTGACGCAACGGCAATAGCACTGAGCTGAATACCCACCCTTCAGCACGAGGTCTCCCTCACTGTGCGCCGAGTATGTTTTGCCTTCTGAATAAAGCACACTCATGAAATAAAAGTATGTCAGTCCATTCAGGATCAGTCTTAATAGAACTGGGACCTTTTACAAAATTTAAGGTGGCAATATTTTACCAAGACACTATTTATTTGTGTTCTCTCAGCTATCATTGCTTTTTACTACTACTAGTATTTTATGCTTACAGTACCTTTCACCCAAGGATTTCAAAATACTTTACAAATAAAGCTGTAGAACACAACTCATTTTACCTTCCGCTAATGCCACCACATCTGGGAAGGAATGTAGCAGCTGTTTAACAGCCCACAACAACAGTTTAGGACAGGTAGTGAAGAAAATATTGTCTCCGGTTTAGTTAGGCCCAGTAGAAATATCCAAGTGGATTTTAGGAATGACATGAAGGTTGAAAAAGTTCTACTCCTATGAAGAAAGACGACAGCTCTTTAATAACCTCAACTGGTCCGGGCCTGTTTTACAATCACAACTGAAAGGCCGATTATCTAGATAACTTTATAAAACAGAATTGGTCTTTAAAATCCACCTACCTACTTAATTTGGTCATGTTACAATGGAAGTTGTGTGGCAGGTCATTGACTGGAACACATGGGTTATAAAGATTACTTTTTCACAAGTTAGTTTTCCAGTGGTACTAAAAACCTATGCAAAAGGGAACATATGACAGGGGTTCTGATGAAATATTTAGCTTTGTAAAGCTGCTGGAGAGTGATAGCAAATTTTTTTACATTAAAAGCAGCACCTGATCTGCTCAGCATAGAAATTAACATGCTGAGGGTGCAGGAGTTCCCCATGCGCAACCAACAACCAGTTTGCCATTGCCACCTCCCCCTGGTGGAGGCTAACACTGGAAATTAGCTACCCAGCATCAAACTGGGAGGGTCACACAAGGAAATCAGTTAACAGCATGAACAAACTAAGGCTTAGACTGAAACTTTTCCATTTGCAGTGTTTTAAGATTAGTAGGTCAATGGTAGATTGAGAAGAAAACAGGCTTATGTTATGGGGCTCTCTGTCTGAACAACAGTCACTGTCAACATCAACAGCCTCAAAGCACACGTCCAGCCTTCTCCTCTCTAAACCTAAAACTTAAGGAAAACAGTCAAAACAAGAGATAATTTTCCTAATGCATGCGTGTGTCCAGGGCTTGTAAGAGCAGAAGCATTTTAGCATTTGCATATCATTTTATACGCTTTGTGCAGCAACACACAAGACACCATAGTAACAAACTGTACTAAAAACATGAAGGATTCTTCCTGGTATTTCTGTTGGAATTGTCTCTACATAAAATGGAATGCTCTGCTACTGTGCATTTTGAACAGATTACTCCATACAGCCAGAGAAGCACTGACTGGATTAATTAGCCCTTTGCTCAACAAAATACCTGCAAGCACACTGGAATACTACCACATGCATTTGCTATTCTAATGGATTTCAGGTGTGTTTGTTTTTTTACAGAATTCTATAGATCGAGGCAAACATTCTATACTCCGATTCTGAAATTACAGCTATGTTGTGTAACTGATTGTAGGTCACATTATATTATTTCGGTTTGCTGATTGAGCACAATACTTCTAAGAAGAAGGAAAACTTGAAGCCATGGCAAGAATTGTTGGCTAGTAGCAGAGTTTAATTTGAAGTTTTCTCACCACACTCTCACAACATAATTGTGTGCGCACAAAACAGCAGTAGCCTAACTGTGGGGTCAGATTCTTGGGAGGTTTGTTTACTTCTCTGGCAATGGGGGGGATTAGGAACCTTATCCTCTTGCTAAACTAAGCTCTGTCCTAGCCTTACGAAATATGCCATTTCTGGTTAAAAATTCATTTTTGCAAGCTTCTGCGTGAGTAACCATTGCTTGAACATTCACTGAGTGCAAATACAGAAGGGGCAATGAGACTGGCTGAAACAAAGCTTTTTTCAGGTTTTTAAGGAATGCTCAGGGTTCTCTCCCCCCTCCCCAGTATTTAACCAGCTTTACTAAGAATGCAAGCTCTGCCATATCAGACCAGACCAATGGTCCATTTAATGTGACATTCTGCCTCTTACTGTGGCCAACATGGAATGCTTCAGTGGGAGGTGGAGAAAAGAACTGATGAACCTCACAAATTGTGCAATCTTGTATATGGGACAACAGAACTGTGCCATGGGCATTAATATGCTATTAGGATACCTTGTAAAGTGCATTCTCCTTTCCCTCTCCTCCTCCCTTGACATCCTGCAGGCCTGAATGTCTCTCCTACCATCCAACCCATGATACCTTCAGGGGAGAGCCAGCCCGCTTTGAACGGCCCCTGTACACGGACATTAACTCCATTTTGCTGACAGAGTTCCCATCATGTTTAGCTGTCCACTTCAAATGCTGCTAACTTGTGTTTTATTTCACTTAACACTATATTTAGCTCTGTCTGCTCACGCACTCCAATCCTAAGAAGCAGCCCTATTTAAGACAGTCGAAAATGTAAACATTTCCTCGCTCTGCTCCCTTTGGTAAATATTTTGAACAATTGGGAATTTTTGATTTTGATGAGAAGATGGGGAGAGCTCTCCCACCCTCAAATGATAAAGAAAGGAGTGATATGCACAGCTTTACCAATTACTTTACTCAGCAATTCAAAGATGCTAGTTTGATAATCAGAGGCTGATTCATTGTGACCCAGTTGCTTATTAATGTCACGCAGATCGTTTCCACCTAAAAATAGCTGGATGTGCTTGCATACAAGACACTCTGCCAGCATATTGTAAGCAATTTCACATTTGTCTCCATGAGCGACCAATGAAACAGAGAGCCTCTTTGCTTCCAAAGGCTGTTCTCCTGGGCTCATACACTCTGCAAACACACACAAGGAGGGACAGTTGAACACATTTTGCTTAGCTTTAAAACCATTCAAACACAGAGTCTGAAAATTCAGCAGATGTTATCAGCTCCTGGCTCTTTGTTTAGGAGAGAATGAAAAAATGGGCAGAATGGCAAAGAAAAAAACCCAGTATGTACCCCATATACAGGGTGCCCACTTATGCCAGCTCAACTTTCAACAAGCAAAGGAGTTTCTGCCATACTGATTGTGTCACACAAGGTTCTTTTGAGCTAGAAAATAACCCCCCTATGAACATCTGTGCCTTCTACTATTCTGCTCCATATGCTTAGAATGCCCTTCCCAAACTCATTTGCTAAGCACCCACCCATGCAACATTCAAATCCTCCTAAAAATCAATTTCTGCAGCATCATATGGAAAGCTCTTTGGGGGCAGAGACTCTTCGGGGTGTGTGCACACATACGGACAGTGCTTCACACAATGCGCCTCTCAGTATTACTGCAATACCAGTATCAAATGTATTGAAAAACGGAGCGATCACACTGTAAGAACTCCGGACCTACCACGATGTACATCTGTCTAAATGAATAACTTCCCTTCCTGAGGCAGGTTACCTCTTTTCTTGCTTGTCAAGTCTGCCATTTAGATTTTAAGTACTTTGGGACAAAGAAAAGAACTGTCTGTTTTCTGTGAAGCACCTAGTACATGTGGGGCAATACCCCCTGCCCCCAAATAACTTATCCTTAGAAACAATCATGGGTTTAAGTGACAGGAAAAAGGTTCAAGAATTCATGCTATAAATTTGTGAAGACAAGTTCTAGCTTTAAAAAGCTTCTCAAACCGTAGGCAATTCACTAATCTCCACTAGCAAGTGTTCAAACCGTCATATACTCTCAGGCAGGGGTAATCTATTTTTTGTCAAGGTCCAGATTTCTTGGTCAAGGTATTGTCAAGGTCCAAACTCCAGAGAAAATAATACAAAAACAATA